CCTCCCGAGGGGGCGGGGCCAGCAGCGCGGGCTGGTGCCTGGGACCCTGCGCCCCCCCGCGCTACTTAATCCCAGGTGCCTGACTGGACCTGGCCTGAACTTTTCCGCCGCGGGTATCTCCTCCCGCTGCTGCCCAGAGAGCGAACTGCTGGGCTTCAGCCAGGTGCGGGGTTCCGAGGAAGCCGCAGCAGGTACCTCTTTCTAAGAGCCTCAGAGGGGTGCTCTCGGGGTCCGCTGCCCTGCTCCCTTCCCAGAGTTGTTAGACTCAGCGACATTATTTTTTAGCCACTAACTAATGAAACTTAGTGTAGAGACCCAAAAAGCCGGGGATCGTTATTCTAAAAACGGAAAAGAAGATACGTGGAACAGAAAGGTTTGGGGACAATGATATTAATCTAGTAATTGATAACACAGAAACAAAATAATGAGAGAGAGGCCGAGGAGAAAGAGCAAGAAATCTCTCTAAGAGCGGGAGAGTGACCAGCTGCGAAAACGCCAAATGTTCACTGGGATGTAGGTAGGGGAAGATCAAGGGTAGTTATCAAACACATGTATCTAATTTATGGAAGTTTTCACCAAAGTCAAAGTCAACATCCAGCCTGCACACAGAAGCTAGAAATGTAGATGTTTAGAAGTTTATTCTAAATAGTTAAGTTTGAACCGTTCTATTACTACCATTGTTTGCCACAATAAAACAAGAATTGCTTTTTTTTAGACTATGTATACGTATACGATTATCATACAAAAGATCTTTGAGTACCTACCCTGTGCCAGACAACCATGCTAAGCGCTGACCATACAAGCAGTAAGCACAACACCAAAATAGTTATGGGAAGAAATATGAGTAAAATTGCATAGTGCTTCATCTGTTAAATAATATATTAGCTATTAAAGTCAGAAGTGCTGGGGGCAGGGAAACGAGGAGACAAAGCAAAAAATCTCAGAACTCTACCCAATACCCTCTCATCTCACCAGCAACCCTGCTGTTTCTTACCTCTTGGAAACCATAGGCAAATCTGCTTTTTAATTTTTTACAAAGGCTTTTAAGCGGAATCATTGAATCAAGTTTCATTCAATTAATATTGGCTTAGTATGTTGAGCGTTTAACACAATCAAAGAGAAGCCTGAGACTTTATTATGAGAAAAGTCCACGCCACTGGTTCTTATCTTCAGATGACATACTATCAGGTGAAGGTCCTTGCTCAGGGACTTTAAGTACCAATCTTTGTGACAATATACTGCATTTCTCTGGAACTGCCAGCACATTGTATCTATTTGTTTTAGATACGGTTCTGTGCCTTCCTGCTCAGAAACACTGTCTTCTCAGTTGTTCATATACATCTCCAGCTTCTTTGTAAAGGGTGGATGTTCTGCTTTTGACATGCTTGGTGAAAAGTTCCATAAATTAGATAAATGTGTATGATAATTACCTTTAATCTTCCCTACCTGTGCTCCAGCTTGCTAGCTCAGCACCTAACCACCTGTATCTCCCATCACCTTTCCAAGTTTCCATCTCTGTGACTTTTTTTTTTTTTTGGTTATTACTAAAACCCGGAGAAGTGGAATAATACTACTGAAAGTCCTAAGTAAAGAATCTATTGAAGGATTTTTCCGCATGCTCAGTGGCAGATGCGGGTAGCAGTATCCCTGCAACACAAAGAAAGAAAGACGACAGACACAATGAGAACAAAGAGCTGCTGGGTCCCCCACTAGCGAAAGAAATTAGGAATAGGCATCTAATACTGAAGACAACAAGAATTAAGATAGTAAGAAAAGCCTCATTGTACTGCAAAATTTATACACTCTAAAGAAGGAGAGAAGTAAGCAGCCCTCTCCCCCATTTACCCAATATGGTCTGTAGAATACATTCAACAACCAGTAGTCAAGCTTTAGAACTGTGTTTGCTAAGTACCAATCATTATAAAAATCTTTGTTCTTTAAAAAGAAAGCACATATTGAAATATAGACACAGAAAAGAGGTAAGATGTTCTGTTTTACATTTCTGTATTATTCTTCTGAAAAGACAAGTTTACCCTCTTCCTGCCTTAAAAGCGTGAAATTATTCTTGTCCAGAAAAATTTTGTTATGTTTTTGCTTTCTATTAAAGCCTCCTTTTTTCCCTTTTGTGAATTGCACATGTACACACACCAGAGACACTCAGAATGCACACTGATTTTAAGTTGGTATCCCCAGGATGCCAGTCTCTTTAACACATAATTAAAGAGGCTGATGGTGTCAAGGCTTTAATTAAGCAGTCTTGATTTTTTATTTTGATGCAAATTTGTAAGCTTTGTGATTTGAAAGAAATTGCATGCATAGTTGCTCAAATTTAAATTATTTGAAATGAAATACATAAGTGGTTTCAGAGGTTTACACAGCAGATATGAAAAATGAACGTGCATGTCTCATTAAAAACTTCATGCTTTAATGATACATTTGAAACACCATAAAGTAAAGAGAAATATCCACATACCACACATTCAAAACTGGTTAAAGAAATGCATATTCTCCCTAATTATTACACTTCAAAACTACCATCATTCTTGTGAATTTTTAAAAGAGAAAATGAACTTATTTTGTGTTTTTCACATATATTGCTAATAGTACCTATGAACTTCAAACAGATTCAGTAACAGAATTGGAAAAACATCATAGTTTCTTCCTGGATATATAAAAACAATTCTCCAAAACAAAAATCTAGAAACAGCCTATTATCACCCCAGTTTTGCAGATGTGCTAAGGTTAGGTTACTCATCCAAATTCAGTCATGAAAATAATGGTTCTTAGTTGTTGCTAGCGACCCAACCACTCCTCTCCTTTGCTTTAGAGTAAAAAATCCTCCTAGATCAAGGGCCATGTGTTTTAAATGTAGATTTTCAATCAGTGCAGCTGACAGACCCTAATATGAGGACTACATTAATTCAAGTTCATAGATCCAATTACTGCAAGAAAAGAAAATCACCCAATGTGTTAAACTAAGATCAAGTATTCCCAACTGTGTTTTCAAGTTGATTTGAACTACAGTGTTTGAGTGATTCTTATGCCACTTAATGGAGATGTTTGTTTATACATACAGAATAGACTTAAATACTGCAGATCACACTGCCCATGTGCAAAGCCTAGCATGGTGTCTAGCACATAGCAAAGAAAAATTGAAAATTTTTTAAAGAATAGATGAATAAACAAATAATAAATTCCCAGTTTTAGCTGGAATTTAAACAAAAACCTAGTTAGTTATTTCCATAAGCCTCATTTATCATATGATAACAACATAAAAAGATTAGAAGGCTTTTGGCAAATCCCATAATAATCGATTCTTTCCCATACGACACAATTAAAGGCTAGAAAAATACTTGCTGTATCTAAAGTGTTATGTTTTGAAGTAAGGAGATCATGCAGAGAGAAAACCAAATCAAGAAATGAGAATTTATAAAAACAATCCCAGGCCGGGTGTGGTGGCTCACACCCTGCACTTTGGGAGGCAGAGGTGAAAGGATTGCCTGAACCCAGGGGTTTGAGCCTAGGGGTTTGAGACCAGCATGGGCAGCCTGGTGAGACTTGTCTCTACAATAAATCAAAAAAATTACCCAGTTCCAGTAACTTGGAAGGCTGAGATAGAAGAATTGCCAGAGCCCAACATGTGGAGACTGCATTGGCTGTGACCCTGCCACTGTACTCCAGTCTGGGCAACAAAGTGAGACTCTGATTCAAAAACAAACAAACAAATAATCCCCGTGTGGATTGCCCCATTCTCACCCCGCCCAACTCCACAACTTGTATTTATGTCAAAAACTTACATAATTACACTTTATGAAGGTCATGTATAGTAGGAGTTATAATAACAATAATAGTAATGATAATCATTCTCTTTGGCAAGCTATACTTGAAAGAGCCCTTTTTAATAAACACTCATTACATGTCTATTATGTTCAAGTCACAGTGCTAAATGATTTTTAAAAAGTGACTAAGACAGCATCTCCACCATCTAATTGGTGAAAGAAGCACGTAAACAACTAACTATAACACAAGACTTTATATGATAGCTATCATAATGAAAACACAGGTAACAGCATAAGGAGTGTTCTAGAAGAAGCAATTTTGCCTAAAAGTTTTGGGAAGACTTCACGTAGAAAGGGTACATTATTTCAGCAAGGCATGATGGCACGTTCCTCTAGTCCCAGTTACTTGGGAAGCTGAGGTGGGAAGACTACTTGAGCCCAGGAGTTCAGGCCAGCCTGGGTAACATAGGGAGACGACATCTTTTTTTAAAAAGAAGGAAGTTTACATTATCTCA